GCAGGTAGCTGATCCAAGACATTTTTATGTAAATGGATTAATTAATTGGTAGCCTTCATTTGAAACTTAAAAAGAATGTAATCCTTTTTGAGAGGCATTAACTGTTTTTTCATAAACAATTCTTAAGCACCTTGTCACACAATTAGAAATTGTTTGACAGCGGTAATCGTAATAAAATGCATTACCCCTTACCACATCACCTTTTTTTCAAGGTGATTAAAAGAACCCATTCATTAAAAGGCTGTGTAGCAATTTTGCTTGTAAAAATCATGTTTGGGGGAAACTTGCTGGTACATATTCACAAAACTTTGGAACAAATGACATCACAAGTTCAATTTCCTATACAGCCTTTGTGAGTAGGCATCTAGCTACAAAAATGTACTGAATTTGGGGAAAGGCAGCTACACCTGGCTTTCTTTGAGAGCCCTTAAGCCCCTCTGCCTTCCAGCCCTATGATTTATGCAAATCAGAAACCTCTGGCGGTCTCCACTTCCTGGCGGGGCCAGCATAATCCACTTCCTTCGGGTTCATGTGACCATGCAAATTTGAGCCCTCCTGAATAGTCCCAGAGGGGCCGTGCCTCTCATTATTCCTGCCCCATTCTCTGCGCAGTGCAAGCATTCAGACTATGAATGGACAAGGGTTTAATTGCTCACCACATCTGTCAGATCAGATACGACTCGAGAATGAAGAGAATCCCAGACAAGCCCAGTCGTTTCTTTGCAGTGTTCCTCAGGGCCGAGGTCATCCAGCTCTGTCTTCTAGGGAATATTTTCCACTCCTTGTTTCATGACCCTTCTGGAAAACAAGGACTCCAGCTTTTGGAGATCCATTACTGGGCCTTTCACATTGTGTGTGGCCTTTACAAATGTTAATTAATCTTCCTAATGATGCACTGAGCCTCAGGGAGCCCTTTATTCCCCCAGGGCTTCTGATGACCAATATGAATGCCAGAAAGTTTTCCTTACTGTTTCCTGACCTACAGGCTCCTCTCTCTGTGTGCTTTGCTTCTTCCCCCTCCCCCAAAAATGTCCCCCACATGACAGATTGACTACTCACATTACCAGGTCAGCCAGAGTTTGACATAGTAAAGGCGGATGGTCCAAGTAGAGGATACACCTACATGGAATAGGGTTCTTGCAGATTAAACATTCCCAAGGCCAGCAGCCCAGGCCCTCCAAGGAAAATGCACATAATAGGTAGGAAGGAGGGTATCTGCTGGGAGCCCAAGAGACGATTTCCCTCGATGAAGGGGCACTAGCATGCCCTCCCTCTCTGTGTTTATATTCTTTGGGTTTAAGAGGAGGTTCTGGGCATGTGCAACTCAGGAATATAAGGTTCCATGGATTGCCATAGTGTTTGGGGGGTTCTGTTTTTGTTTTGTTTGTTTTTCCTTTTATCTTTTTTTCAAATGAAGTAGAATTCACAGGAAATAAAATTAACCATTTTCAAGAGCATCATTCAGTGTCATTCAGCACATTCACAGTGCTCTGCAACCATCACCTCTATCTAGTTCCAGACATTTCCATCACTCAGAAAGAAGCCCCTGTACCCATTAAGTAGTTACTCCCCATCCCCCCATCCTCTGTCTCTGTGGATTTACCTGCTCTGGATATTTCATATACAGAGAATCCTACCATATGTGATCCTTTATGACTGGCTTCTTTCATTTAGAATAATGTTTTTGAGGTTTGCCATAGCGTTTTACTGTGGCATTTTCTGGGGGTTTGTGAGTGTTTATCATTCTTACCCCATCACAGTTATTCTTCACATGTTCTCTGCCTTGGATAATGGCGTTACCCTCTAAGGAAACCTGAGAATCAGCATAGACCCATGTCTTCTCTCACTCCTGTAGTCTTTAGGAGTGTTCTTTAGGTCCTGTCGATTGCACATCTGAAATACCTCAGGTCCCTGCTCATTTATGCTCTTACATCTCCTGCCCCTTCTCAGAGACCATTCATTCCCCAGCTGGTCTTTCTCAAGCACAGACCCTCCTGACCCTGTCACTGCCCAGCTCAACTCTTGACTGGTTCATCCCCACCTTCCGAACTGGGTTCAAGCTCCTTCCCCTGCTGGCCCAGGCTGTCTGCAATCTGTTCTCCCCTCCCACCGCCCTCAGTCCCATCCCACCGCCCTCAGTCCCATCCCTACCTGCTACACCACGTCTGTCTGACCGCATTAGACTGCCTGTGGGTCTCTGACCAGGGCTCACACTCCCTCTGCTGTGCCTTTCTGTGTCCCATTCCCTCCCTAAAATGTCTTCCTTCCCACCATCCCACCCCTGCTTCCCACTGCAGGAATCCATCCCTCCTTCTCCCTCTCTTGCGTTTTACCTTCTCACCTTCCCTGATGGGCGAGTCAGAATGAATTCCTCCTTTCTAATCCCATGGCTTTTCCTTCTCCAAAGAAAAAACTATGGGCCTGTAAGGAGCCAGAGGGAGAGAAACCAGCCTGACGAAAGTAACAGGGACTAACATTTTAAATTATTTTCATCTTCTATTGAATTCACAGTTAACTCACAATGGTTTACCAGGTTCAATTAGCAGAAAATGCAACTTTGCTTTTTATTTTCCTCTTCAGATTATGTTCTTCATTACAAAACTCAAGAGTTTTATATGCAGTTGCCAAAAATCTTCTTTTTGACAAATTGCACAGGGTGCATTTTGGGATTGTGTGATCGAGTGGATTGAATTTAGGCCAAGTTCTGTACCCTGATATCTCTCAAAACAAAAATACAGATGTAGGGCTACTCAAACATTTATCTATTTTATCCCAGCCCTCCAAATTCACTGTCTTTAAGAATAATCAATTGGATTCTTTTTAAATTAAATGCCAAGTAAACGATGCAAATAAAACAATTTTGTTTGCCGAGAAGTAACTGAAAATCTGCAACTAATTACAAATTGGCAAGCTCTGAACCTGCAAATAGCTGAAACCCTCTGCTGATGCGTTGTTTACAGCAGGGTTCAAACTGGTTTCCTTACACCAGCCATCCACAAGTTATTAATCAATACTTTGCCAAGTTCTATACCTCACCTTCAAAAAATGGTAATAAACATTTAATTTTCAATATGGGCTTCATAAATAAAGCTTTTAAAAACTAGGGGAGGAGGTGTAATGGGTTAGAACACACGAAGTCTGTTCTTGAGTTAATGTGAGTTGGCTTTGGATTAAGCACCCTGTCCTTCCTTGACTGCTCGGGAATCCTGCAACTCAGTGGAAATTAATATCTGCCGGTCTGGTCACTGAGTCCCCTATAGCACTCCACTGATATAATGCAAGACCTTTCTAATTGAAATTCTGGAGAAAAGCAACATATTTGTGGGCCACAGAGAGAGAGGGAACAACTAATGTTGATTTGCTATTGCTACAAGCAGGTAAAGCCGAATTTACAAATGACTCCATTCTGAGTGGTGGTTTACACACACACACACACATTCTGATGCTTCCATACCTCTCAGACTCCATCTCCTACTGTTCTTTCTCTCCCAGCTGACCTACATTCACTCTAGTTCAGTCTCTGCCCCTGTCGCTCTGTTCCTGGAATGTTCTTCCTCTAAATCTTCGCTTGGCTGGCTCCTTCTTTTCCTTCAGGTTTCAGTTTAATGTCAGTCTTCAAAAAGGCTTTCCCTGTCCACCTTACCTGATATCTTGTACTTTATTCTCTTTCCTTGTTTATTTACTTGATAATTGTGAGATGCCTCCACTGGATTGTAAGCTATACAAGGACAGACACCTTGTTTATCTTGTTCTCTACTCTAACCCTGGTCCCTGGAATAGTGCCTTGCACGTGGTACGTTCTCAGTAAGTACCGGATGGATGGATGGATGGGTGTTTAGGTGAATGGATAGATGGGTGGGTAGGTAGATGGATGGATGGCTAGATTAGAAGGATGAATGAAGGAATAGTTACGTTGGTTGGAACAAGCAGCAGAGTGAAGACAGAAATTGAATGCTAGGAAGGACATGATTCTAAAAGCGTCTTCTTTGATAAGAAACCAAAACCTCTTCTGGATTCCAAAATTAGAGACTTCTTTGCAAACTGGGGTGCATTCAGAGGTAAGAGATGGTGAGAAATACTACAAAACAAATACTCTTCAACTTTCACAAGGGCTGTTTTGTAGAAGGATCATTAGACCTACCTCTGTGGCCCCAAAGGCGTGACCCAGGACCAGTGGGTGGAGGTTACTAGAATGCATATTGTGGCTTAAAACGAGAACGCTTTCTCACTGAGAGAGCTGCCCTGAATGGAAAATTAGTAGTGAGATGGTGGTGGTGGGAGGATTTATATACAAAGTACCTGGCTACTTAGCAAGGGTGCTTATCACAGGGGATATAGGCATCAGATGTGCTGTCGTTCTAGATGACTTGTCTGGGCTCTTACTACCCTGAAGCTCTGTGGTTCTGTAATGATCAAAGGAGAAGCCTGCTCAATAGTTGACAATTATTTTTAAAGGGAGAAATTCCAATGAGATTTGGATTATTCATTTTGTCCCATAAGGAGATAACTAAAAAATGATTTTGAACTGAAAGAAGATGTTCCTGGCAAAATAATAAGGCTGAATTCTGAAAGTCTCTTCCCCATCTTCTGTTCCCTGGGATGCCTGGGACAGGGCATGCAGTATTTTAGGTACATTGTGAGCGAGGAGCCTGCATTCCCAGGAGGTGGCAGGGATGGCCTGTAAGGTCTCAGTCCAACTCTGTGATCTTAGGGCAAAGCTTTTATGTGTGAAACGCAGTAGTACCTCCAAAATAGAACAAGAGCACTCCATCCATGTGAAGATGACTGTCAAGGTCACTGAGACCTACAGTGATCTGGCAAATTAAAGCTGTCTGTGGCTGCCTTTCCTTTCAGGACATACTTTAGGAGATCAAAAAAAAAATTTTTTTTTTTTATAAATTGATGATTTTCTGTTGCTGAGTCATTCTTCTTGCAGTTCTTTTTGCTTTTCCTATTTATTGTTGGTTTGACGCCTGAGCCATAGCATTGTTGCCTTCCAGCTGGTGTGAAGGAGAGAGCCGAAGATGCAGGTGTGTGCCCCGGTGGGCAGCTCTAGGCATGGCCATGAGGCCCTCCTGCAAGTCCACCAACGTCCAGAGATCAAGATGAATGTTCTGGTCGGTTAATGAAGTTTGGGTTTGTCACTGCACCACAATCCAATTGTTTCCCTTGCCAGTTCGTGGGGTGAACAGAATGCTGAGAGTGGAGCATGGGAAGGGAGTTTAGATTTCTCACCTGGTTTCTAGCCAGGTGATACATTGTCCTACGCAGGAGGCCTCAGTCAAGCCGCAAGTAGTGTGCACTAGTCACTGGCAGAGCATCTGGGATGCTCTCTCTGCCTGCACTTCCCTTCATCCGGGTAGAACTCACTCACCTGGCAAGGCTCAGCTTAAATCTTAGCTTCTCTTGGGAGCTCTCCCAAGCCCTCATTTGGAATAACCATTCTTCCCTCTGGGTCTCCTCGCTGACTTCTGTCTCCCCTTCAGTTCATGGTATAAATTATACGGTGTCGAAGTGGCTCTCCTCTGAGGCCGTGAGATCCTTGAGGGCAGGCATTGTGTTTCCTTTTTCTTTATATCTCTGGAATACAGTACCCTTCCTGGTACATAATAGGTCCTCAGTGAATGCCTGATATATTGGGAAAAAATGACTAGATACCTGAAATATTAAAGGAATTAATGTTATTTGGGTGGAGAGTAATAAAGACATGCAAAGTTCTATGTGAAACTCATCTTTTCTCCCCAATACAACCTGATTAAACAGTGACAGTTTCTTCCTCTCTTGAGCCACCTGGATCTTAATGGTTATTTTCTTACAAGGCTGTTGAGTTTACAAGATGACAGAACTGTATTTACCTTGGACTTGGGGCTGTCCTCTATTAAGGAGCTTTCAGCAAAGCCTAGGAGTTAAGTTATGGCATTGCGGGCTAAAAGCCAGTGGGGAAACCCTGGGGGAAAAACCCTCATGGGTAAGAAATACTTTGTCATCTGGTCCCTGAGTCTTATGGACTTAAGCAGTGACCTAGCTGAGTGATCCCACAGTGAGGCCTCAACATGTTCCAAGGCCTTAACTTGCTCTGAATGGGCTCCGGATTCCCAGTGATGCCCGCAGCCCCTCAGGGTCAGGGGCCACCATGCTGCCAGTCAGGCGGGGCAGGTGGAATGTTGCACAGCTGCGCCTCTGGTTGCATTTCCCAACACCTCCCTATCCCACAATGACTGGTCGTTGGCATGCTATTTCTGCCACCTTGTCATCTCAATGGCTTGTCTGGGGCCTCAATGGCTGTATATGCGGAGTGCCTGTCCCCAGCCCTTTTTTCTCAGGACAAGCTCGAGTTCACTTCCTCTGGTCTTATCAAACCCCTTGTTTCCAAAACTGTTAGCCACTTGGGGAGTTGAACTCGACTTCTCCCTCCCAACATCCTCCCAGCTGAAATTAATGAGAAAAACAGTTGACCATGGTGAGATGTCTGTCCTTCCCATTCTCCCCCATCTACCATGACTTAGAGGGATAAGCCTGGAGAATTTTGTCAGGTGCGTTTCGTACTGCTGGTGGTTATTTGGCCATCTCTGATTCGAGCTCAGCTTAAAGAAACATATGGCCCCAGATTCTGCAATGCTACAGATTTGGAACTTTCCCATGTTAAAAGACTTAACAGATGAAATATGGTTTTCTATACCTCTTTTCACTGACCGTCAAAATAACAAGTGGTGTCTTGTCTTTCAACAGAGACACTCTTTTTACTCAGTTATTCAATGAAGAATGTGCTGTTGTCTTTGCTGTAGATTTTTATTTTATTTGTAAATTGTGCGTGCTGCGTGCTATGGAATACTGAAAAGCTATACACCCTGGCTTGTTAGCTGACACACAGTATGTGTGATTACAAATTGTTTGAATAACAGTGGACTATTGAACTGCCATCCAGATGTGTGTGGAGTTAACTGTGGGAATGTCCACAAAAGAGGATTATCTTTCTGGTTGCTGGGTCCAAGCCCCCCAGAAAGTGGAAACATAAGCGTGGAAGCTACTCAAATAGAACAGTAGCTACAAATGGCTCTTCAGAAGCAAAATTAATCATTTTTTTAAATTACACATTGCAGTTAAGACGAATTTGTCCTTCTAAAGTAAATCAGGCAAAGAAAATACCAAACAGCAACAAAAGAAGTTGCGGCTTTGAATGGCCTTTGCAAATGGTTTAGTCATTTTATGTTTTTAATTATCTACAAATTCAGAACATTGTAGACTCAAGATAAGACCCTGACCATCCCAAGTCTCTGAGCTAACTTCTTGTGTACTTTATCTATGTTTCCAGCACTTCCTTCCATCTTGTCTGCTGCACCGGATACCACAATCATACAGCAGTTGGCGTTCATAGTCCTGGCCAGGGGAAAACAATACAGAAATCCCTTGTGAACATTTCCTTTAAAATATTTGAACCACAGTGAGATACTACCTCATACCCAGTAGAATGGCTAAAATAAAAAAGACAGACAATAACAAGTGTCGACAAAGATGTGGAGATATCAAAACCCTCACCCGCTGTTTATGAGAAAGTAAAATGGCATAGCCACTTTGTCAAACAGTTGGACAGTTCCTTAAAATGTTCAACATGGAGCTGCCATACAAACCAGCATTTCCACTCCTAGGTATATGTATCCAAGAGGAATGACAATATAGGTTCACATAAAAACTTGCACATGTACAGAGCAGCATTATTCATAATAGTCAAACAGCAGAAACAACCCGATGTCCATCAACTGATGAATGGATAAATAAAATGGCATTTTATTATTTGGCCATAAAAAGGAATGAAATACTAATACAACCTGGATGAACCTTGAAAACATGCTTAGTGAAAAAACCAGACTCAAAAGACTGTGTAGTATATGAATCCATTTGTATGAAATGTCCCGAATAGGCAGATCTATAGAGATAGAAAGTAGATTAGTGGTTGCCTAGAGCTGGAGGCGTTGAGGGGAAATGGAGGGTGACTGCTAATGGGAATGGGTTTTCTCTTTGGAGTGATGAAAATTTTCTAAAGTTGATTGTGATGATGGTTGTACAACTTGGTGAATATACTAAAAACCATTGAATTTTAAACCTTAAATGGGTAAATGGCATGGTATATGAATTATACCTCAATTAAGCTGTTTAAAAATGAAGGCAAAATAAAGACAGTTTCAGGTAAAAAATTTTAAAGGTATTTCAAGGTGATTTTTTTTTTTTAGAGAATCATGCCTCAAATTAGGAAGTTTTCAAAAACCATATATCTGGACTTTTTTGGCAACATGAAAAGAAGGGGAAATGGTTTTAAATTTAGTAGCTTATGTCCTTTCCCCCCCGCCCCCGGAATGAAATATCTGTTACTTGTTCAACAATGTCAATGCTTTCTATCTCCACTTGGAATCTACAGCAGTAAGTTGGCACCCAGCCATCAAATACCTATATCTACCTTTGTGCAATAAAGCTCCCTTTAGCAATGCGTATTGAAATATATCATTTGGAACCTATTTTAAATTCTGTAGCAAGCAAGTCAAAAAAAAAAATGTAAATCATGAAACATCAACCAAGTCAGAGGAAACAAAGAAACGAACAGGAAATCCTCTCTAGATTCTGTTCTCACTCCACTTTCTATAGTTTAATCTAAAGAAAAATGTGGAATTTCCTGCGGAGTGATTAATAGGCCAGTGTGGTGACATACAGGAACTCTGAGCTTGACCTTGCAGGTAAAGGCTAACTGGTATGTGAAGTTGATTACACAATTTCCTCTAAATAAGTTGACAAGTGGCTTGCTCAGTTGCCTTGACTTTTGCCCTTATAAATGCACACTTATAAATGACTTGCTTTTTCAGCTAAAGCAATCCTTATTTTAGATGTGACATGTGTTAAGTAAACAGACTGATAGGGAACCCAGCTTCCTAGCCTTCATAGCCAGGTCAGATTAGCAGAGTTGCTAGGGGACATGAGTTGGGGCAGCCTGAAACTTGGCTTTGAGATATGGCTGTATTTGTAGAGCATGAGAAACCCAAAACTGTTTTTGTCCTTCCAGTACGGTGAAGTAGACTGGTGGATTTGAGAAGATGATTCCACATGTAGCTTGAAATATTCCAGGAGTAGAGGAGCTAAATGGTTTGCATTGAATGACAATAGGTTTATCTCTAGTGTTTATCTCTAGTTTATCTCTAGTTCAGGTCTCCTTTCAGGATGTCAAGTCTGTAAGAAAATGCAGCCTCTGGTGTTTTGTCCAAAAATATCACGGAGAAAAGGCTTCTGGTCAGCATTTCTGTTCTATTATCATTTTCATAGGAAGAAAATATAGTCCTTTTATAGTCAAGAGGATATAGTTTATTGAGATATTTTTATTTAAAGATGTACTACTTCCTTCTATTTAAGGGGAAAGTTAACAAAAAGCCACTATAAGGAACAGGAAGTGTTACTTCAGATGATAAATCGAAATGATGCTTAGGAAAATAACTGGTTATTTGTAGATTTATAAGTCAAGCACCTTTATTGAACTTAATATATCCTGATTTGATAAGCGAAAAGAGCTTTGCTAACATTGTTGATTTAGCTGGAATCTATTTGTGTGTGTGTGTGTGTGTGGTGTGTGTGACTCTTCCTGAATGAGTTAAACATTTGGAAAATGAATTGATTTTTATTTGTATATACAAAGATAATGCCATTTATGCTTTCCAGGTCTAGAATATGACAAGCCTTGAGCTCATCTGGAAAACAGAACATTATTAGGATTCAGAGGTTAAATTTACCATCCCACCATCAAATCCATGAATGTCCCTCTGAAACAATGTGCAGACCCATTATAAATCATCTTCCTTCACATTAGCTCTTAGCTCTTCCTTAGCTCTTACATAAGATGAAACTCGCCAGCCTGGAAATGTTTACTACTTACCACAGATGTCTCTCTTAGACATCTTTTTGTTTATTTCATTATTTCATTCAGTCATCCATAAGTATTTGCAACAAAAGGATTGCCATCCATCTTCCGGCTGGCTGTATGCTTGGGCAAAGGACTGGGGCTAATCTGTCCTGCCATGTGGCTTCCCCTTGAAAGCTGTCAATACTCAGTAACCATTAACTATTAACAACAACATCCTCAATGCATGTGTCTGAGCCATGTCACTTCCGCCCCAGCTAGCCAGAGCCCAGTTAGACGTACTCATGAGATTTTTCACACTCGACTCTCTCTGCTTGTGGAAAGTTCGGATCTCCTGAGGTTTGGCTTTCAACTCAGCATGGTAAACCTAAGACTGACGAATTTCCCACCACAAAGGACCAGTCAGAGAAGTTTCTGCTGCCTCTCAATTTTCTCTCTCAAGAGAGTGCCCTTTAAAATTAAAGGATAAATACTTCTGTTGTATACATTTTAATCAAATATTTCAGAAATTTAAAAATAGGACATAATAAGTGAACACCCTTCATAATAAATGAACACCCCTCTTCCCAGCACAAGCTTAAGAATTAATATTTTACAAATACAAATGAAGTTCCCGTTCCACCTCAGGAGAAGTTTACAAGACCTAGTGCACCGTACCTTGAAGAAATCCACATGAAATACTGGGAGCTGCCCTGTGAGAGGAAGAGAGATGACATGCTTCTGGAGAAAAAATGCACTTTTCTCTTGTTGGTTTGAGCTTTTTATATTCCAAATATTTAAAGCAAAAGACATTGCCGATATTCAGTTATTTTCAAACCTCAAAGGTGACAGTTTTCTGTGGTTAGCCTCAGAGCAGAGAGACAGATATCCATTGCACATTACAAGAGGAAACCAAAATCCAGGTCACATCTTCTCTTGTCTAGATCATTAGCTTAGACTCAGAATTAGCTTCCCTGCCTCAGTTCTCAGCCCCTTCCAATTCAGCCTCCACGCTCTTGCCACAAGCATATGTATATCAGATCGAGAATCAAGACAGGGAAGCTGTCTCGATTATAAAATATATACATAGTGGAATTCTTACTACAAGCCAGCTACCTTGCAGAGGCTGCCACTTTACATAACTCATCTCATTTCATCCTCACAGGAAACTCTGAGACATCCAGGGGCAGATCCAAGTTTTGTGGAATCCAAATTTGGGGATACTTTGATGAGGGGAGGTTAAATTGAAAATTAGTTAATATTTGTTAAGGTTAAGAAAAGAAAGTACTACAAAATTTTAAAGGCAGTTAAATACTACAGACACCTCAAAGTTCAGAAAAATCACATAGTTTTATTAATTAACCACTTGACATACATTTATAATACTTTTTTCCCCTATATTTTTGGCTGCATATTCTTTGGTCATTTCTTCATCTAACAAGTTTTTCATAATATCATCTTCTATGACGAGAATAGAAGGATGCTCAGTCTTTCCTCTAACGTGGTTGAGCAAACTTTTTTTTAAATTATGGAGAGTATATTTAAAGCTTCTTTTTTGCTTCATAGTTCAACATTAGTAATAATCATGTAAGTTTTTAAGATCGTCGTCAAATGGAAACATCTCACTTTTTTCCCAGATATGGAGCTGTGAGATTTGGAATTTTTTCCACACACTTAGCTTCTGGCTCCGTGCATTTCTTTCTGTACCTCCCATATGCGTCTGGAGCCGGTTGCTCTAAGGCATGTTCATATGACAGTATGACCTCTGGCCCTGGCCCTTCATGTCCCAACACTAGATGAGTTGGCCGTTTCCAGCCCAGGACAGCTAGCAATAACCTACCCAAACATGGAAATGACTGTATAACATGTAAGCATATCCCACTGCATCCAAAGTAGATTATCCCTAACTCAGCTTTTCCCCATGGCCACTCCAATGCTACCCAACACAAGGGAGAGTCAGAGTAGAAAGAGACGGTCATCCTAAAGGATTGCAGTTAATATGTCTTATGTTTACAAATTGTAAAAAATATTTGACCAAGTGAACATATTTCTAGGGCCTCTCCCAGGGCCTTGGAAGGAGGCCAAACAAGTGAGAGACTGACCCTGAAGGCTGGACGGGAGCTGAGAAGCTGCATTTGCTTTTGCAAACTTGAGCAAGGTTACTTGGGTAGCAAGTGACAGAGCTAGGACTTGAACCCAGTCTGTAGAGGCCAAGCTCTTATCTATTAAATTATGTTAACTCATCTTTTTTTTTTTAACTTTTTATTTTATACTGGAGTGTAGTTAACAGTGTTGTGTTAGTTTCAGGTGTACAGCAAAGTGATTCAGTTACACATATACATGTATCTATTCTTTTTCAAAGTCTTTTCCCATTTAGGTTGTTACATAATATTAAGCAGAGTTCCCTGTGCTATACAGTAGGTCTTCAGTTGGTTACTCATTTTAAATACAGCAGTGTGTACATGTCAATCCCAAAGTCCCTAACTATCCCTCCCCACCTCCCTTCCCCCCAGTAACCATAAATTCATTCTCTAAGTCTGTGAGTCTGTTTCTGTTTTGTAAATAAATTCATTTGTATCGCTTTTTTTAGATTCCACATATAAGCGATATCATACGATATTTCTCTTTCTCTATCTGATTTCACTCAGTGTGACAATCTCTAGGTCCATCCATGTCGCTGCAAATGGCATTATTTCATTCTTTTTAATGGCTGAGTAATATTCCAATGTATGTAGGCACCACTCTTTTTTATCCACTCCTCTGTCGATGGACATTTAGGTTGCTTCCATGTCTTGGCTAAGGGTGCATGTATCCTTTCAGACCATGTTTTTCTCTAGGTATATGCCCAGGAGTGGGATTGCAGGATCATATGGTAGCTCTATTTTTAGTTTCTTAAGGACCCTCCATACTGTTTTGCATAGTGGCTGCACCAATTCACATTCCCACCAACAGTACGGGAGGGTTGCCTTCTCTCCACACCCTCTCCAGCATTTATTGTTTGTGGACTTTTTAATGATGGCCATTCTGACTGGTGAGAGGTAATACCTCATTTCGCCATTAGTCAACATTTGCTACACCAAAAAATGGGCATTCGAATCTCGAAACAGATCTGCTCTATTCCTGTGCACCCTTGGGCCAACTTCCTTTAAGACTCTGGAACTCAACCTCTGTTGGAAAGAAATTTTATCATGACAGAGACTTTCCAACAGCTCTGTATTAAACAAAAGTCACTGCCTCTCCTCCACCCATGTTCTAAAATTCATGTTGCCCCTCATCCAGCTAGGAATATTTCTCAGGCTGCCCCAAGGGTTGATAAATATAGTACAGTCCCTTACGTTTATTCTGGTTTCCCTAAAAGCCATATTTCGGAAGTGGTGGGACAGTCCTCATTAGAAGGGGGACAGCCAGCAGGGGCCCTGCTCTCCATGCCCTGGCGCCTGCAGAAGAAAGGCTTTTTCTGATAAACCCTCCAATGTCTGGGACCCGCGGTTGTGCACATGGGCGGAACGCTCTCTCACAGAACAAGTGTGTTTGCCAAATCAGGGGCTGAAGTATCTTGCAAGTCCACTTGTTCCAGAAGAAAGACAGGATAAGGAAAGTGGCAGAAGCAGTGATAGGAAAGGAGTTTTTCGCACTAACAAGCGTGAGCTGATAAGCCTGACCTGTAAGGCAAATGTTGAGGGTCCTAAGTACACCTCTCAGGCCAAAATTAGCTGAGCAAATTTGATTTGGCTTTCCATTTTATAGTGGGAAAAAAAATTCCTAGGAAGAAAGAAAACTCAGCATGTATTGCTATCACAAATGACAGATTTGACTGCTTAACTGCTAGATTTTCCGACTGAATAAGTCAAGGGAATCACTTCGTAATATGCCTGAATTGTAGGGTGACATGATAAAAATATAGTAATAATATATTTTAGTCCTTGCTATGCTCCAGTCCCTGGGCTGAGTGAGTTTACATTGCTTATTTCATTTGATCCTCGTAAGAAACCTATGAGGCTGTTTCAAATTACAGATGAAGAAAATGAGGCTTAGAGAGATTCAGTAATTTACCCAACGCAGCCACACAGCCAACAGGTGGTGGAGGCTAGATCTGAACCAAAGCAGCCAGACTTGGGAGCCTGCACACTTATCTACTCTTATACGTGGGAGAGGTCCATCTACATCCCATTCCTGTCTCCCTGCTCAGGGATCACCCTACCGTTCTGAACAGTTCCTATAAAAGGGGGAGTGGGGCTTCCCTGGTGGCGCAGTGGTTGAGGGTCCGCCTGCCGATGCAGGGGACATGGGTTCATGCCCCAGTCCGGGAGGATCCCACATGCCACGGGGCGGCTGGGCCCGTGGTCCATGGCCGCTGGGCCTGCGCGTCCGGAGCCTGTGCTCTGCGGCGGGAGAGGCCTCAGCGGTGAGAGGCCCACGTACCGCAGAAAAAAAGGGGGGGGAGTACTTTGAGAAACTCTCTGTTATTTGACATATGTATAAAGCAAACAAGGATTATTTTTATTATGTGCCACAAGTACCCTTTTTAGCTTTTTTTTTTTCTCTCTTAGGGTGCCTAGAATAAAACATAAGAATATTGGTAAGGGAGCAGAATAAATATTTATTGAGCTCTGAAAGGCTTGATACATGCTTAGTTCTTCTCCACCCCTGCTCGGAGGCCCAGGCCGTGTAAAAGGAAGCTCTCAGAAGGGTTAAGGAGAGTGTGGCTGCTTCCTTCTGGCAAACTCAGGTTCCTGTGAAGTATCTAAAGTCATGCTGCTGCTCCTTGGAGGCTGAACAGGGTTCCCTGTGTGTTACCCATTTGTACCTAAAATCTCTACCAGGAAGTTTTTGAAAAGTTCTCCAGAAGGAAAGCCATATTCACCTGGTCCAGGTGTAGGGTACGGTGGCAATTCAATGCCAGGTCCTGGGGGAAGCACCAGCCTGGGCCTTGTAGTCACATTGGAGAGGAAGTGATGAGCCAAGGCCAGGATGATGAGAGGGAACCTCAGGAGAATATGTGCTCCATCCCCTCATTTCACAGAAGGAGAAACTGAGGCCCCGGGAGAGGAAGTGACCTACGGCTGGTCACGGTGGAGGCAGCACTAGGCTTCCTACTTAAGACACTCCTTCTACCATAGGCTGCTGACATGCTCACCTCAGCGCAGCATCACCCAAGCAGACAGGGGCATCCTAAATACTTCGTAGCAGTTCTGTCATCCAGCGATGAGATTTGAGGTTACATTTCAGAATTGTGATGAGGAGACGGACTTCCAAGAGAGGCTACGCCCTTTTTCCTAAGGTGGTTAGATTCTCAGTCTATAGCAACAAAAGAGCTATTTAAATAAACTCTATTTTATTCCTACAGTTGGTGACTCATCTACAGTAATATGTGTTATCATATTACCTGAGCCAATCACGTTTTCCCCAGACTTATATTCCTCAGCAGAGATGCAGGGAAATTGCCCGACAAGTTCTTTATTGCTTGTTCCAAAAGCAGGAAGTGCCCTAAGTGACTGTCTACACAAGTATCTCACACAAATGACACCTGCTACTCTTCTTCTCTTTGAGGTACCTTGTTTAACCAAATATACTTGGAAAGAGTTGGGGAGGATCAAGTTATTGTTCACGTTGATCCATCTTTGCCAATAGAACATTTTTGA